AAACTTTAAGGTTCAAAAAACTTATAAATAAAGGACTGAATTGAAAAATAATAATTAAAGAACAAAATAACTTTTTAAAAAAACTACAAGGAGTAAAATAAAATATTTTGATAAATTATTTTTAGTTTTTATTAAAACTTGTATTAAGTAAAGAGTAAACCAAACACGAGCGGAATGAGAATTTATAGAGTAATTTACTAATAGATATTGATATAATATTTTCTCAATAAATAATATAAAAAATTAAGTTAATGGATGGAATATTCAGTCCACTCCAAGTCCTCCGAAATGATCCCAAATGCACCTCCGAAGAAGCAAAATTAATAGAAAGGGGAAGAGTGAGGATGCAATGGAGGGGATCCATTCTGTTTATAAATTGCATGCAATGAATGAAGGGTACCAATTCTGGATGCACCAATACCTCCTCATCATCATCATTACCATCATCATCATCATATATATATATATATATATATATATATATATATATATGTAAAAATTTCAATATAAATTATTTTTTTCATGGATGCACCAATATAAATGTTAATATAGAATTGGGTGTTAGAGGTTCTAGCATGAAACTCTATAAAGGTATACAAGTGATTTTTCTTTGCCATTAATTATCACTTTCAAAGGGTTTGGTTAAATTGGACGAAACTAATGAGAAACTTAAAATGATGGATGACTTTTCTTCTTCTTTTTTGGAATTATATGCAATTTTTTATTTTAATTTTGGTTTATCGAGAAGTTTGTGAATTTTAAACCATATAATCAAAATAGTTCTCTCTCCTTATATAATAATTAAATAAATTAGAATTATTATTACTCGATTATTTTTTTACGAAAGAAAACTATACCGCACACAATCACTTGTATATCCTTTTATTTTATTGATCTAAAAGCAATGAGACAAAAATTAATGACGCAATGATGACTTAGTCATGTACAACAAAGTTGAATTATGTGATCATTAATAGAAAAAAATAATCATTGTGATTATGGTTTACGCCAAACCCATTTACTGATAGTTACGTTGTTCCCATTTTCAAACCATGGTGGCCGCAATAATTAAATGTGAAAAATTGGTTGGCTTATCAATAAATCTATAAAAGGCCAACCATCAAGCGAGTTTATCGAAGGGGCTATAAGTGTTTCAGCTCGACTATCAAACGACACGCTCGCATCAGCGAACTCTCGCATTGAAATAAAAATAAATTATTCAATCGAAGGTTTTATGAGTCTTGATCTACACAGTTGACCAGTTACTTTCCATCCTTAAATTTCATTAAATTACTTAAACTTTTAAGATTTCTTCGAAAGTTATGTGATGGAGATAGGGATGGTAATGGATTCGATACCCCACCCATTAAGCCAATCACATACTCTATTTATTCAAAAATATTTTATTTATTATTTTATTCATTATTTATCAAAAATCACTTATTTATTTTTATTTTTTTTTACTCAGTTCATACCCATTATATCATAATCTATTTATATCTATTTATGCGTTAATTTTTTAAAAAAAAATTAAAGATTTTTTTTCAAATTTTTTTTTTTTTTATAAACACAATTGACTCATAGATAAATTTGCATCATTCCTGTATTTACCTTGTAACTAGAAAATTTACATGATTCGAACAATGCTTATAGAAAAAATACACACAAAAAAATCAAATAATTGAGATCCCGAAACTTAATCCTGCAAATAATAAAAAAGAATTCAAAAAGCACAGAATATGCAATATTAGATAAAGGTATAAATTGTCATGAGGAGGTGGTTTAGCTCGATGCTATTCCATTTTTATAGCCCAAAGCTGCAATGATTTATGAACTATAATGCATTGTTTTTTTTTCTTTTCTTTTTTTAAATTTTATATTTTAGTATTTTTTTTATGCTAATGGATAAAAAATATGTATCAATAGGATAAAAAAAATACCCATTTTCATAAATAAATTATCTATTAACATAAATGAGTAATATTACTTTATTCATATTTAACCAATTATTCATTAGAGTATTTTAAAAAGATAATTAATCGACGAGGCTAGATAGGATACCTATTTTATACCCGACCCACTTGCTATCTCTAAATGAATAGCTTTATTTTGCATAAGCTAAAAAGTTAGATCTTTTCCAACAATTGACTCGCGATTAATATTTATTGTGACATAAAAATAATCCTTAAATGTTAAGATATCTTATATCATCTGGTTTTGAACCATTGGATTTAACTCAAACAAAACAAAATGAATTAAAAAGAAAATTATTTTTATTTTTCCGTTAAACTTGCCAATAAATAATAAAACAAGTAATAATTATGCATTTTCTCAGCATTCTAAACTTCATCAAACCAATCTTCCGTATTACGTTGCAAAAGTAAGGTATAGACAATGATCATGTGAGAATATTTGTGTCCATTTTTTAACAAAATTCATTAACAATGCAATTTATTGGTTGTAAAACTTGGATCATATCAAAACAATGAGAAATATCACAAATTAACATATAATTAATTAAATTAGTCAGTTTTTTCTCATGAATAAATCAAGGGTATACTTAGCCTACTCGGTAGCCTTGCCAGAAAACCCGTCCCACAGGAAAAGAGCATCCAACTCGTGAAAACCTAGGAATAAATAGGATTGGATATATTTGCCTGCTTGTAAAATATTGTCCCTGTCAAAAGCCTTCCTTTTCATCCGCTGCAATTGGGTCCTTCATGCCCTCCATTGTGAGTAATAATGTAACCGACATTCTGGTCCCTGGCCTCCTGCAGTTCAACTATTAAAACAGTGCCTGGGAAAGGACAGTGCATGTATTTAAATTTAATTTATAAAAACCTCATCATCAACATTTTTCAAGCCCTATTTAATGCTCTTGGTCGTACACATAGCACGATGATTGAATCATTGGCTTTTATATTTCTGTTCAGACCATAGGGATATTTTTCCAGGTATTGATCTAAGAGCTCTTTCATCATTTTACTTGCTTTCCGAACTGGTTGGGCTTTGTTCAGATCCAAAAAGGTTTGATTTGGTAATCATTCCGGACTAGTGGGCTCATTGACCTAATGGTCTAACTACTACCTATTACTTGGCCCAGCCAGCCCAATTTATAAAGGCCTCATGGTTACCCTCGATAGTGGGCTTCAAGGTATAAACTTGTGAATAATCTTTATTATTATTATTTTCAATTGAATATTCATTACAACCTCTATAATCAAACAGCATAATTTTTATTGATTTATTCAGTCACGACTGAGACAGCTGCTTTACTGTTTAGACAGACAGTGAACTAAGTCTGCTGAAAAGAAAAAAAAATGACTTTCTCGGAGGGATTTGCCTGTAATATATTTATATAATATTGACCTTCTTGGTTTTCGATAAATATTTTTTAATTGGGACTGAACTTCTGATCTCATCTCTTAAAAAGAATTATCTTATCTCCATGTATCATTGTGTCATTATTTATTGCGGAAATGCTTTTTTTCAAATATAATTTGAATTCAAAAGACTTATTTATAGTTCAAGAATAAACAGGGGTTGATGGTTGCATGGGTTTTTACTTTTTATTTCGTTTTGACGGCATCTTTCTATTTTTATTTTATTTTTCATCTTCATTTCGTTCTTCTAATGTTTAGTTTCTGTTTTAATTATGAATTTTTTTTATTAACATTTGAGTTAACAATATTAAATTGTACCGCTAGCACGACAACATTTTAACACGTGTAAATTTTTTTTTAATCTAGTAAAAAAATTAGCAGGTGTCTTAATACTATAGCATTAACGGTGTGATTAATTCTGTTTGTTTAAAATATTAATGAAAAAACATGATTAAGACAGAAAAAAAATTAAGAATAAAAAAACATGATCTAGATAAAATAAAGAGAAAAGAAATTCCTACAACTAGTAAACCAATAAACAGGCATTTAAATGCTTTAAAAGAGAAAATTATGCAACAACAACTCCATACATAATGACAAGAGACTTTCAATTCCCAAAAATAAAAAAAAAATGACTGAATTTCAAAGAGGTCATTTTTCGTGGGAGCAGGTGATGGATGCATGCACGTTTTTTTTAATAGGATCTTAGCTTCGATGAAGTAACCAGTTTTGACTTTTGCTTCTAAATAATTACTCCATGAGTCTCCCTTTTATAGTAGGGAAAGACTTCTCCTAATGAGTACCAAAGAAGAAAAAGGGTAAGACTTCTACAACCTTCTATACTGGCGGCCAAGGAAATGAGCATCCATTAAATCATAAGCCCTCAAACCAACGACAATCACACAAGATGACCCCAGATTTTCTTTTCAGTAGTCGTGCAATAATGTCACAGATTTTCTATTTTCTTATTCAGGGGATTATCACATCCATTTTCGTAGATTAAATTCAAATATTTTGTTCGTCGCATCTTAAGTAAGCTAATCAGTCTCTCTCTCTCTCGCACATACATACATACATACATATATATATATATATATATATATATATATACTCAAAGTCTTATATTAATTTTTAAAATTTTAATTGCATTCTATTTATTTATGATAATTTTTGAAATATATTTAATCTATCTTTCTAATCAAATTTGTTTTTAAAATTTTAATTACATTCAATCTGTTTTTGATAATTTTTTAAATATTTTATGATCGTAATTTTTTTTATTGAAATACTTTGTACTAAAATACAAAAAAGAAATTCAAATATGTGACTTATATGTTTTAGTTTTAAAGTCTTTAGATTTTTTTTTATTTTTTTGATATTTTAATTGGGTGTATTTTAGTCAAAAAAATTATTTGACATAAAAATTAATCAAAAAAACTGATTAAATATTTTAAATACTTTTAAAAACAATTCTGGATTAATTAAAAATCTAAAAATATATATAAAAAAAAAATTTCAAGTATTGTATAAAGAGATATGAGTCTATATATATTAAAAAAAAAAAAAAAAAAAAAAACTCTTTTCCAAACTTTGATTGGATATGAACTTGAGATGATAATGGAAGGAGTGAATTTCAAAAGTTCAAATCTGTCCTCCGCTGCTTCTCTTGGACCGGCGATGTCAATGGGAAGTGGTAAAAATCTGAACATGGGAAACATCCCATGATGTTTCTTGCTCTTCTGGATTCAGGAGCTTTGGGTCTTTACCAACTACCTCTAAAGTTGACAGGCCTGTCTTGAGCTCGTTGGTACATTACTGTAAAACCCTATTGGTTTCATGATTTCATTAATCATCAGGAACATCAAACATATTCGTAGGATCATTGAAAACATTTTACTATGGCTAAATTAAGAAAAAGATTTGAGGTATCTAAAGAGGAAAAAAAGGAAAAAGATTTTGTGCTTTGTGCTAAATCAGGACAAAGATTCAATGCCCTAAATGCTATTATTGCATCACTTCATATATATTTTTACAATAAATTTTATGTCATTCCAAACAAATCCAAATTATTTTAGAGGTAAATTATTACACATTTTATAATTTTATTTTCTAATTGATTGATTTTTCATAAATCTTAACAAGTTTATTTTAGAATTTGACCTAAATTTTACTCTAAGATTCTTTAATTTACCCCTAATAAAAAGAAAACTTTTTGCTTTTGTAAAAGACTTACTATACTAAAAAAACAAAAACTTTATATTTTTAATTATATTAATACGTTTTTTTAATATTATATAAAAAATACATAAATTAAACTTCCGCTAATAATATTAACGCGTTTGACTTTTTCAATTAAAATTTTATTAATATATGATGTGTCACATCAGGTGTTAAGGAAATTTTTATCGTTAATACCATTGAAAGAATGTACTAATATAATTAAAAATATATTTTTTTTAGTATAATAACCCTTTACAAAATAAATATAAGAAATTCTTTTCTAATTTTTTTTGGTAACATCTCAGAGCCAACTTCTATACTAAGATTGAATTCACTTCTGAGTTCAAATTTTTTTTTAAAAAAAATGAGTTCTTTTAAAAATAATTTTGTTTAAAAAAAATTATTAACGAAAATGAAATAAAGAGTAGCTTCTGAAAAATAAAAATTAAGGGAAAAAGAAAGTATTGGTCGTATATCAGCAAATAAAGAAAAGGACAAAAGGAGCAGATTGGAATAATTTGAACGTCACGCATCTTCCTCTCCCTTACAAAAGTTAGTAAACAATAATAAAAAATAAAAATAAATAAAGAAGTTCAGATTCAAAGGCTGAAAACAAAAATTTGTTTGCTTCTTTAATACAGAGAGAGAAATAAAGAAAGAAGCAGAATTCATTGCACATACCACAGAGTGACCTTTTAATAATAATTTTGTGTATATACTATTTTATATGGTATATATAAGTTCTGTACAATCAAAAAAGTCAAAAAAGATTTGGAGTATTTATCTTTAAAAAGGCTTTCTTTCCGGTTAGGGTTTTTCTTTGAACTCTTCTCTTCATTTAACCATCTGGGTTTTGTTTAATTAGTCTTAATTCAGTGTTTTTAGCACTGAAAATTCTGTTCCTTTCTTGTTTGTTTTTTTTCTTGAATAAAGTTTAAGGCTTTACTTTGTTTTGTCAATTTTTGGTGCTTCTGGCTTTGCGAGTGTAGGACAACCTTGGTGTCTCGCAGATATTGCTTTTGTGCTTGAGCTTGAATTTGCTGTCTTGGATTGTGTTTGTATAGAGGGTTGTTTTATCGGTCTGCTCTTGAGTGCTTGGTAAAGGTTAGTACTTTATGTGTGATTGAAAGGTTGCGGAGTGATAAAGAGAGAATTTTTGCTTTTTTTTTTTTTTGTGAAGTTGAAGTGTTTGGATACTGGGGTTTGGTTAATTTTGAGAAGGGTCTGTTTGGGTTTTACAAGGTTGGTGGTGGTAGTGTTGATGATGATTCATGGGGAGTAGAACACATAATGATAATAAAGCCGTGACCGAGATGCCAAGCTTTGTTCCTCAGCTATCCAACTCTAATCCCATGTAAGTTGTTTTCTGTTCAATTTTTGTTATCAGTTCGAATTGTATTCATTCTTCCGTTTTGTAATAAAGAATTATCTGGCCAATTGCTAGTTTCATTTCTATGGTTTTTGTAGATTTAATTATAAGTTTGGATTTCATTGCGATCGATTGTTTATTTCTGTGTTGCTTTGATAACTCTAGCGAAGTAATATGCCTGTAATTTTGAATGATAGCTTCCTGCTAGTTCGTGAGAAATCATTTGTGTGCCGTGGAAAAAATAAATATGGAATATTTTATTGTTTGCTTGGTTCCTTAGAAAAAAATATGAGAAGAAACTCGAGTCTTATTTTGTGTCTTTTAACTCACAAACTGTATCACATATATGTGCATTTTTAGATATCTTATGGAACCTAAGGTTAACTTCTTAAAAAACCTATTGATGCTTTTAGATGGAAATTGTGTATGGGTCATGGAGTGCCTACAGCTCTCTTTAAAGAGATTGTGGACAATGGCATGCTGGGAGCAGGGATTTGTTTATATAATTGCATGAGGTTTTGTTTGATAGTGCTATGTATTGTGAAGCTGTTGTGTTGATATCAGAAAGGATTGTGGAGTTAAATTTGTTTCCAGTGCATGATGGTGAAGACTTGCAATTGTATTAGATATTAGCAACCGTGGTAAGGTCGTCGAACCTTATATTTAAGAGGCTATATGTAGTTGTTGTCCCTCTGAATTCTAGTCCCTGAAGGGAGGAGTTTTGGAGAGACTTCTACCTTTAGTGCCACCTTTAGTGTTTTTGCAGTGGACTTGAGTTTTTATCCTTGTGATTGAAGCCTGATATTTTACCATTGTACCAAGCAAACATTTTTAAGTCTCAAAAGTTTATAAAGAAAAATTTAGGTAATAGAGCATCTCCTTTATTTTATTATTATTATTTTTTTCCTGGAGGGGGTGTGGGTGGGTTGGTTGGGCTGGGGTTGTGATTTAGTAGATGGAGTATCTTTTGGTGACTCCTCTTCTCTTACCTTTCCTTTGTTGGACTATTAGATTTTTTTCCCCTCCAGTTTCTTGTGCACGTGGTTGATTACTTCCACCTTTTATTTATGGAGTTCTGTTCTTTAAAATTTATTGTGTGTTGGTTAGGTTTGAAAGGTTTGCTTGAGATGTCCCTGTTTATAAATGCTGCCAAGGCTAACACTTTTTAGGACGGTTTTGTTGTTTGCCTTTTCCTTGCATTCTGTATAGTTGGTCTTGGTACTCATAGTTCTGATGTTATATGTTTCAGTGGCACAGAAGCAAATAATGTTCGTTCTTCTCGAGTTTCAGACTTTGCAACCCTAGAGCAATCTCTTGGGTTTCGCATAGAAGATGCTGTTGATCTTAGCAGAAGTATGTGTTTGAAATCTTGACTTCTGTCAGAAGCAGCTTTCTTTTGTTTCTGTTTTCTGTATCGATGATCCTTAGACTTCTAATTTTTTGTTTTACCCATCTATGGTTTCTTTTAACCATCTAACCTTGTATCAAGGCCCATCTAATTTCACTAAACATGCATTAGATATAGCTGTTTATCCCTCTATCAATTATTGTAACTTAGGGAGCACTTGATTGTTATCCTCAGTCTTCCATTTGGGCTAATGGTCAATCCGTCAGTTGCTTAGACATCATCTCTTGGAACAGATTTCTAGTCCTGCATAGAGTGATCAACATGGGTCCATTTCTCTATAGCATCTCTCCTTGACTACATTTCTTAAAGCAATATTTTTTTATACAGTCAGCGTCTGGATGAAATATCACCAACACATCCTTGCATGATGTTGTAGGTAGATTGCATACCAGATCATTTCAGTTTACAGCGAGATCCATTGATCTCTCATTGTGTAGACTGCTATATGATGATGTTTTTCAATCTATTTAAATTTCTTTTGATATTGAAATAGTTTCATGCACACTGCATCCTTAATCATTTATATTGTCTTTCAGATTCTATCTTTAATCAATTAAAATCTAGCAGCCAGGCAATAGGTGCTGATGTCCAGTTTGGCGCTTTAAATAAGGTGAGCCTTTATCTTTCCTCCACATTTTATGTCGATAGTGGCTTCAACTGAGCTTTTTCTTTTCCTCTTCTCTTGGAATTTAGCCCCATGCATCTTCAGATATAAATCTCTCAGCTGCCGTTTTGGGGTCCCAGGCAATCCCAGTACAAAAAGAAGTGCAAATAAATCCAGTTTCTATCCCCGGCAACCATCCTGAGAATTGGGGAGAGACCAGTATGGCAGAAGCCAGTCCTAGAACTGATACCTCAACTGATGACACAGATGAAAAAAATCTAAGGGTGATGTCTCTTACTTTGTCATGCAGCATATTCTCAGTTTCGCAAAAGCTCATTAATTCATTCATCTCACCCTTTTCTCTCTATCTCTCTCAATATTGCCTTCTCATGCGAAGGAAATTTTGCTTCATGGTAGAATGTAGGCTGTTGGTCAGTTGTAGGTGACAAATTTTAGTAATTTCCATTGCAGTTTGAAAGAGGACAATCAACTGCAATAGTGGCATCCGATTCCAGTGACAAGTCAAAAGAAAAAGCAGGGGATCAGAAGGTCGAATATGTGAAGTTTGTTTCATTTACATGACCACCACCCAACGTATGATATTCATTTGTTTTTCTTGTAATTATTGTCATGCAGACATTAAGAAGGCTTGCTCAAAATCGTGAAGCTGCCAGAAAAAGCCGATTGAGGAAAAAAGTATGTCCTGTGTGATCTTTTGCTGTCTTTTCCCACAATTATTTGCTATTATATTAGAGAAGCTGCGATTGCAAAGGATAGGTCTGTATATGTTATGGATTTTAAATTTACACTGTTTTATGCATTCTTCGTGGAACTGTCTTTTTTTCTCCTTTACAGGCATATGTACAACAGCTGGAGAGCAGCCGGCTGAAGCTGACCCAACTGGAGCAAGAGCTCCAGAGAGCCCGGCAACAGGTTTGGTTTTTATAATTTCTCTATTCTGTCTTATTTTGGCAGGGTTGGGTATTGTGTCTTATATTCTGTATTTAAATTTTTTGGCTGCAGGGAATTTTCATATCAAGCTCAGGAGACCAAACCCATTCAATGAGTGGAAATTGTACTTAATTAGCTTTCGTTTGGTTATGCATTTTGTGTAGAGATGCAGAATTGATCATAGTGAAGATTGTGCTAGTGAATTTGTTTTTAATGTTATGGTAAATCAAGTGAGCATTGCATTACTGATTTCTACAATGACACTATGATTAACAAATTTTCTCCATGGTTGCAATAAACGGTATCCAGCTCTTGTATGGAACAAAATGTAGCCCTCATTGTGGCGCTTGTTATATTTGCTACTTGATGAAGGTGGAGGACTTTTCATGATAGGATCTGATTGCTGACCATAAAACATGAGGAGTTAGCATTGTTTCTTGGAGATGCACAGTATTTTGAAGTTGAGAGGAAACATGCTTTGTGAATGAGAGAAGTGTTGTATTCTAGTCAATGTCCCTATATATATGTTGTTTATGAATGGATGTCTACTGTAAACAATCTTTTGCATAGACTTGCATACCACAAATCCCAAGTGCCATCTAATCATCACGCATACCTGCTGCTTCAACGGCTATGGGTTGTTTGTTTAGTGCTCATGACAATCTTTATGTGATTTGGATATTGTTGGAGCTTTACTCTTCCATGCTTTCTGTTATTATTCTATTGTGATTCATCTGTTTTCTGTCTTCATTGCTTGGTGCTGATTCCAATTTACTCCACTGCACAGATATTTAATGGTAGAAACACTGTCTTGGTATTTGATGTGGGTCTTTAATACAGATCTTGTTGATCACATTGTTCTACAGGTGCCTTGGCATTTGATGCAGAATATGCACGGTGGCTAGAAGAACAGAACAAGCACATAAGTGAGCTGAGGGCTGCAGTCAATTCACATGCAGGAGATACTGAACTTCGTGCCATTGTCGACGAGGTTGCTGCACACTTCAATGACGTTTTCAGGCTGAAAGGCACTGCCGCAAAAGCTGATGTTTTCCACATCTTATCAGGCATGTGGAAAACACCAGCAGAGCGTTGTTTCATGTGGATTGGTGGCTTTCGCTCATCTGAACTCCTCAAGGTGGGTTTTTGTCATATCATAGCTATTGTTTTATGCTTTTCCTTTTTTTTTTTTTTTCCTGGCACTTGATTCTGTTAGAATACTGTACCAAGATTTGGCTTGTTAACTATATTTTTGGTATTAGATTTGTGTATTCAAGTGATGAGAATGCTGCATTTCATGCTGGAATTCTTGATTTTACTGTTGTATCTTGTATGATGAGTGAAAACTTTCCTCCTGTCTTTTATGTACATGCCCCGTTGATGAAATTGCATGAAGAAATGGTAAATGTAGCGATTGCAGATGCATTTATTATTAACCTCCGCTTTACACCATTTCTCAAAATCCAAACATATTATACCTGTCTCTGATGTTCTTTAATATGTTTAACATGCAAAAGGAAAAAAAAAAAAAAAGGTGGTGATTATGCCGTTTATTATGTGAACTGAATTTGGTGAAACTGGTGCAGCTTCTTGCGAAGCAACTGGAGCCTCTGACGGAGCAGCAGTTAATGGGCATTTACAAATTGCAGCAATCTTCCCAACAGGCAGAAGATGCTATGTCACAAGGGATGGAAGCACTGCAGCAATCTCTGGCAGAAACCTTGGCTAATGGCAACCCTGGCTCTTCAAGTTCATCTGGGAATGTGGCAAACTATATGGGTCAAATGGCCATGGCCATGGGAAAGCTAGAAACTCTAGAGGGGTTCCTTCGTCAGGTAATAAAAGAAAAAATTCCATGATATAACCATTCTGTCATTTTTATAGTTGCAATGTCCTTCATGATTTGCCTATGCTGCCCTAAACGTTGTGCTTATAATTATTGTATTGGCATTTCATTGCACATGTTTATTTTTTTGCTTCGGTTATTCTCAGGCTGATAATCTGAGGCAGCAAACACTAGAACAAATGCACCGTATACTGACAACTCGGCAATCAGCCCGTGCACTTCTGGCCGTGCATGACTATTTCTCTAGGCTACGAGCCCTTAGTTCTCTCTGGTTGGCCCGACCGCAGGAATGAGTAGCAGTATGTTACCCCCCAACAAAGTTAACATGAATATTTATCACTTCACCACCCTCCTGCTAGGCCTTCCATTCTCAACGTGTCGTTTGGTGGACTGCTGCTGGTGGTCTTTGAAGTCATCGGTGGCAATTGTGGTGCAGTTAGGTCATAGTTGGTGTAATTATAGGTTTCATGTGCAGTTGTAACGCCAGGTTTGCTCACACAGAATGTATGCTTATCTTCTTGTTGTCAAACAATTGGTGGCAATAATTCGATTGTGTTTGGTGTTTATTTATATTAGAACTGATAAAAGGGAAATAGGATTGTCATATGTAACATAGGTTACAGTTATCGATTTGTATACCAGAAATCAAATTAAATCAGGATTATAGTTGCTTTTTGAGTGTTGCAGATTTTTTGCTTTTTATCTTGACTGATGCTTGCTTTCATTTTCAAATCGCTTCTTTGCACCCTCTTGAGAACCAGCACACACATGATCATGTATATAGTTTGATGTGCATTTTATTTTTCAGGTCTCATCAATGGACGACCTTTTACCATTTTTTAAGCAGTAATGCCAGGGATTTTTTTTTCCCTTTAAATAGGGTATTCTTATATTTATTTTCCTAAAACAAAGAACTTTAAATTGTATTTATTAAAAAGATGGTTTTTGCTATGTAGGCATCTTGAGGAAGATTAAATATATTGCAGCAGCAAAAAATGTGTCTTTGAATAGAGAAAATCAATCAGAGATATAATTTTTGTATATTTTTGAAGTGTATTTAGATAAGATCTCCAACTCTTAATTACGAAAAATTTTAATTAACCAAAGGGCAGTGGCTCAATAACCTGATTCTCTGAACACTTTAAAATGCGCTAGAAGCTAGAGACATAAAGGACAGCAAACAAGGGTACTGCTATAGAACTTTAGACTGGAAATTTAGCAAGGAATTCACATGGCAGAAAATTGGTATACTCCACTTCTTGGCTTCTTACAGGAAAGAAAAGAAAATAAGTCCACTCGAATGCAAAAAAGAAAAATGGCACACAGTGAGCTGAGCTCTCATTGAAATGCAGATTGGCCAAAGTTCTTGTTACTTTTTTTTCCTTTCTTTTGCTTGTTGAAACGGAGTAGAAGCTCGATAAACATGCCAATATACCATTAAGCCTGAAAAGTTTACGTCCAAAAAAAACAATAATAACAAATAACAACATTTCATTGAGAAATGTTGTTAATTCTGCTAGGTTAAATAAATCCTTACCGTGTTGTTTTGGTAATAAAAAACGTGAATAAAAATTTTATTTTTACTTTGTAAGTGTTTGATTAAAAAAAAAAAAAGGTGAGAATAACAATGAAAATTGTACATAGATTTATTTTCATAGAAAAATAAAAATAAAAACAAAAAAACGAGAATTTTTTTTCAAAATAATGATATATTATTTTTATTTATTGTGTATTAACTACGTTTATCATTTTTATTAGCATCGTAATTTTATCAACACCGTTACGGTGCTGATAAAAATATCTAAAAAAATTATTATTACTACTATTTCATTATCATTTTTTTCTACCATAGCCACTACCACGACGATGCTAATAAAAAATATTTTTAAAAAATTATTATTATTTCTCTACCACTCTTCTACTATCACTATCATTATTTTTATTATACCATAATTGTTTAGAATATATTATCATTATTACTATTACAATCATCGCATTTTCTTCATTCTCCAACACCATCAACAACAACAGTGCAATTATCTTTATTGTTTTTATCATTATCATAATTAAAATATATATTTTTTAATAATTATTTTTATTTATTTTAAAAATTATATAGTTTCTTCATTTTTATTTTGATTTTTATGTGGAAATTTCCATTATTGACAACAAAACGAACATCTAAAATTCCAAAATAAATTCCTTGAAATACCACTTTGTTTCGACTACTAAAACTCAAATATACTATAACGCAACCGCACAAACTCAAAACGTACAAAAAATCCAAAATATATCAAATATTTGAGATTGATTCTTGATAGCGACTCTTCCTTATGCCAATATCTAAAGTCTTCAACTTGGACTCAAAGACATGGCATTTATTATGCTCTGCAGCAGGCAGCTATTAATTATTAATTATTAATTATTAATTATTGAAGCAACAACAACGAGTACCATCAGTATAGGATGTACATCCGCCCTTCCTAGGATAGCCCTTTCCCGCGCATACTTCAGGGCAATTGGTATCGACATAGCAGTGCACTCCAGAGTCAATATCGCAATATCCTTTTGATTCATACACACCTACGGTACGTACATCAATAACAAGTGATCACGTTTCATTCTGTTGCTTTTTTCTTCAAGTTCAATACTATAAAGTGGAGATACGTCGTCAAAAATAAAATTCATATGAATTCTTAATTTATCTCGATTTGGATATCTCAAGACAGTACAAGAATACTCTGGTATAAAAGGGAGAAAAGAACGAGGCAAGAATTTAATGTGGTACCACATGTTAGAAGGAGGCAGAATAAAAGAAGTAAACGTTTTTTTTTAATGGTTTATTGTAAGTTCAGATCGTGTATATTTTAAATTATTTTTTTATTGAGATTTTCTAATTTTTTTTTAATCTTATATTCTTTAAATTTTTCTAATTGAGATTTATTATTATTATTATTATTGAGAATTTTTATTTTTCAAGATTTTTTATTTTAGACTCTCCGTTATAACGTCATCAATTAATAATCAACATGTAATATTATAAAATATAAAATTTTAATTATATATCAATTGATATATTGTGTTGTAACAAAGGTTCAAAGTAATAAAATCTAAAAAATAGAAGATCTGGATTAAAAAAATCAAACAACACAGGTCTTAAAAAAAAAGAAAAACTCCTTTTCTGATAAAAACAGCGTTGCTCTAGCATCTTTATCGTAACCGTTCAACCAATAGGAAGAAAAGAATGGAAGAAGGATTTAACGTGGTACCAGATGTTAGAAGGAGGCAGGATATGAGAAGCGCAACACCCATTCCTTTTGTGGACGCCATGGAAGCTAACATAAATAAATTCTCACTTCACTGGTTGCGTGTATATACACAAGGGGCTAGTGGAGGTGTGTATATATATATATAGGGCTTGTCTGACATGTGCTATAAAGGCATAAGTTGATTGATATGATTTGAATTATTTAATTTTTATATGATTTTGCACCATTATGGAAATAAATCTATTAATTATATAGAAAGGGTTTTTCTGGCATGTGTTATTAAAGGCAGAACTTAATTGATATGATTTGAATTATTTAATTTTTATATGATTTTGCACCATTATGGAAATACATCTATTAATTATATAGCAAGGATTTTTCTGGCATGTGTTATAAAAGGCATAAGTTAATGATATGATTTGAATTATTTAATTTTTATATGTGATTTTTGCACCATTATGGCAATAAATCTATTAATTATATAAGTGAGTTTTTAATATATCAATTGATGATATTGTTCCATAGTTGGGTCTGGAGATTTTTTCCCAAAATTTTAAAATACTTATATAGAGTAATGAGAAATTTTATAATACACAAGAGTAACTAGTGACATATATAATAGTTACTCCATGAAACCACTTTGAAGAGGGAGTGATAGACACAAAAACAGAAAAGAGAAAAAAAAATTGAGGAAACGTAAAAATCTTCTTATGACTTTTGATGAGTCCGAATATAATTTAATGTGTCTATCTTTCTCCTCAAAGTGGTTTCATAGAGTAACTATTGTATATGTCACTAGTTACTTCTTGTGTATTATAAAATTTCTCGTAAGTAACTATCAATATTTATTATATATGAGAAAAAAAAAAGATAAATGCAAAGAAGAGATATAAATAGAAAAGAGAGAATTAAGCTTATATAAAAATATTCTTATCATTTTTTATGATTTTTTCTCATTAAAATAAACCTAAAGAATTAATATTATTAGTTATTCTTATTATTTTATAATTTCTTAATTTTTTTCTTAACAGATGGTCTATTATTTGAGTGCTCTGTATCTTTTCGAAAGGTTCTTTTTTAAAAAAAATAAAAAATAAAATCACTTCTTAGAAAAAGTAAAGTTTAGAATTTATGGATGGGAAATAATTTTGGAAAACATATTTAGTGAAACGACAGTGCAAAATGCAAATGTGATCTTCGTATCATTTCCTTTCTTTCAGGAAAAGACATGGGGATGTTTTTTGTTTGTTAGTTACAAAGGAAAGTTGACCTTTCAATCTCTAGGGGATTTTTAAAAAAAATTTTACACACATATCGAAATATTATGTAATTAAATTTTTTTTATCGAGATCTTAAAGTTTTTTTTATCTAATTTAAGAATTCTAATCTTATATTATTATTATTATTATAGATCCTAATATATAATAGAAGTATGCATGATAAATTTTAATAAATGATAATTTATCATGTCATGATTGGTTTAAATTAAATAATTGAATCGATGATGTGATATGTATATTTTTTTTAACTACTTAGATGCATTTGAAATCCCTCTGTTTTATATTTTTAATGTGTCAAAATTGTACTTTTCTTTTTTCTGTAAAGGTTGGATATATATATATATATATATTTATTTTATTATTATTATTTTTTTTTTTGTTAAGAATTCTCAATTTATGTGAGATAGAGTACAGCTCATAATATATTTAATAATTTCTCGGTTTCACCACATCAGAGAATGATAGGCTTTATTGGGCCAGAAACTCTTGCAATCAATACTTAAATGGACTAAATCCCCTGTATTTCAAGCCCATCAGTGGCTCTATCATAACTCATAAGCTTCCTAATTCGGTTTAAATCGAAAATCGGTTTTTATTTATTATTATTAAAAAAAGAAAAAACCAACAGCCACCCTCATCTCTTTCAATTTTACGTCCTAAAGCCCCAGCACAGACCAGTAAATCACAGTCCGTCTCTCTTCGCGACCTACCCTCAATTCAACTGTCAAAAGTCCAGACTCTCTCTCTCTCACCACCCGCCTCTCCCTCTTCCTCCGACAGTCACACTACTCTTCCTCTTGCTGTGGTCAGTCCTCTCCTCCCGGTCTCGTCTTCGACGTTCCAGATTAGTTATTTTTGCTCTCTTTTTCTTTTCATTTTTAAGTGTTTGTTTATGGATTTTGGTAGTGTTTGGTTTGCATCTATTTTTTTTTTGGATTCTATTAAGCGGAATTTGTTTCCAATTTTCTTTTCTAATCTGGGTTTCGTGTTCTATTTCATGTCCTATTAGTGTCATTTATGGATTTAAGTAGTGTTTGCTGTCATTTTGGCTTGTTTTGGGCGCCTTTGTTAAAAAACGAATAATGCAATTCATTAACCGTTGAAGTGATTTCAAGTATTCAGCATTCTTTGGTGGGATGAATTTGTTTTTGACTCATATATAGGCTTGATTTTAAATGTTAGTTTTGTTTATTTGGCAGAAAATAAAGCAGTTAATATTGATTTCCTTTTTCTCTATCACTTACATGAGTGTTTTTCTGGAAATTGGCAAGTGGGATTTAATATAAACAGCTGCTTCCGGGGGAAAAAAATGCATGATGGACCTGTTTTGATTACTAACACCTTTAATTGATTATTTTTGTAATCTTTTTTGTATTACTATAATGGGTTTATTTTAAAGAATTGAAATTTAGAACAGAGAACATTATTAAAAAAAAAAGCTTTGAGGTGGATTTGTGTTTGCTTATGATTTTCGCTTGATTTGCTAGGGAGTAGGGAATGTTTTCGATTTAGCTTTAACATGTTAGCAATAACTTCATGTTTGCAGATAAAGAATCTTGACTGGAACGAAAGATGCCACATAAAACACGGCCAATGACTGCACTCTTGGTGTTCACTGGACTCAATGCGATTTTGGTATCAACCATTACTCCAGTCTATGATTTTGTTTGCTTCCTTCCTTACTGGGAAAGAAGGGTATGTTTGTAAACTTTGTTCTCTCTTTTTTTTTCTTTTTTTTAACTAGAAAAGGTTTTTCTTTTTCCAGTTGAGAATAGGATTTTAGTATTGTCACATTAATTGATATGTAGATAATTATTACATGTATATTGAGTTGAAGATAATAAAATGCTGAGCGTGTATCAATATGTATTGATTGAACATGGAGTATTAGTGAAAGGAGACATCCTTAAGTCTATACCAGCATGTACACTAGCACACAGGGTATTTTCGGGAATGACAAACTTGACCAAAATTTCTTTATAAACAATGGTTTCTTTGTAAAGAGATAAGTTTAGTTTTAATTGACCATATTAGTTATAGTAGCATTGTTCATATCTTGGTGAGTTTTTGACATCTTGAAAATAATTATGTCTCCTTTGACATGTTGAACTTCATATTTGGTGATTATTGTCACTCTGTTTTTTTTTTTTTTTGCTTTTCTTGCATTTGTTTCAGAGAGAACGCCACCGACAGGATCGTCAAGCTGCCTTAACAAAGGATTCCAAATGAACAGAGATGGGTCTTGAAGCTCAGAAATTCAATTGTGATTGACTTGTGACATTTTATGATGTTAACCGACTTTTTCACCCGTTGGAATATGCAAAAAAATTGATAAAGTTTTGCATAAAACTTCCTTGATCAGAGCATATAGTTGGCACCTGGTTCAAATTTGTAGTGCAAAAAATTGATAAAGTTTTGCATAAAACTTCCTTGATCAGGACATATAGTTGGCTCCTGGTTCAAATTTGTAGTATAAAGAACTGCATCAGAATGCAGCCTTTGAGTTTTGATTGGGAAAATTGTGGTAGACTTAGCAATACTATTCTTACACCTATGTAGCTATTTTCTCGCTCAGTGCATATTGCGCTCTAGCTGGATCTACTTGATGACATGTTATTTAGTTACATGTTAATGAAAAATGATAGATTTTCCTACTTACAAGTTTCGATTTATTGCATGTTTTTTACGCTTTCAGCCATGGGAATGCTAGTATTATAAGGACTATCAGTTATGCGAACTTCAACTGGAAATCCCTAGGAATTTAAACTCACTTTGTACATGGAACGTAGGTTATAGCTACCAATTTATACAAGCTAAATAGCAGATCAAATCAGGTGATGCGAATATATTTATTTTCTCGAACAATTAATGCAGTCTATTCTGTGATATCATTCCGCTGGCATTGGCACCAAAGATGCCATCGAGTGGCCAAATTTCTTGCCTGGGATTGCAAAATGAAAATAGTTTGGATTGGTCAATCGATTTGCAAGCGCGAAAACTATACCTAGCAAGCCTACCTATGACATTGTAATCGTATGCCAAATAGGTTAATGGCGCCATGAACTCCCCGCTTCTGCAACAAGAAAAGGAACAAAAAGGTATAAGTTTTGAATTTGGTTTGTAAGTTTCAGGTAAAAATTATTAATAATTTGTGCAAGACATATAAGTCGATAATAATTCAATCCTCCAGCTAAGCCTTTCAGGTTAGATTTACTAGCATGGTAATTGATATCTTCTTCTGACAGCCCTGAGGGCAAGCTTGGAGGATCGGGAAATGCCTTGTTCCTATTTCTTTATGAAACAAACCTGGATTCAGACTGAAATTTGTAAATAATTTTCGCATTAGTCTTTCAGTATCAACTTCAGCTATTTGTTTTCAATCTCTCCGGGTTCCTTCAGCACAGTTCAGCAATTTCATATACGGGAACAATAATAATAATAACAATAAAAGAATATTTACCTGAACCTACAGAAATAGTAACCCAAGCCATAAGCCACTTCACAGGATTCACTTTTGGATTCTGGTCAGAAACGGAGCGGCCAGGCTAACCAAATCCTTCTCTATCAGCCATTAGGTTAAAACGTGCAAAAATACCAAGCAATCACAGGCACCCAGTGAGTGATGGCCAACCAGAAACCACCTTCTCTATAGGGTGGTGTCAGTGTCACTGTAGCCGCGGCTGTGGAAGTCAGGAGTTAAGCAAGGACAGCCAAGGGAAGACAGAGAGGAGTCGGTGTCTCTAAAAGTACCAAAATTCAAGAAACATAATCTGGTAAATTTGTCTTTTTTCCGTTATGTTTGACAGCCAAAATTCTTTCTTTGTTACTTGTTACGTCTGAAAGTCAAAATTTTAACCATTAAGAAGATTAGCTTTTTTTTTCACTTAAAATTATTTAGAAATACCAAATAAATAGAAGCACCAATTGTCCCTCTTTTTTTTTTTTTTTTTTTTTTTTTGCAATTGCCAAAAAAAAAAAAAAAAAAGAAAAGAAAATCCCCTTTTGTGGCATGTTTTAGAATTAAAAAAATTATTTAAAGGTTGCAAAAAAATATATTTAATAAAGACACTTTTTTTTTGGACACTTAAAATTTTTTTAGACATCAACTGTACGTTTTTTGCAATTATTAATTTCTTTCTTTTTTTTTTTTGTTTGAAAATAACTCTTAAGTGTAAAAAAACTTAAATGTTTAAAAAAATGTCGTATGAAACATTTAACTAACAATAAAAATTTTGACTAGTGTAATGGAGAAAAACAAAATTTATCTAGAAAATGATAATTTACAGTCAAAATAGATCAAATTGATAATTTAGACTTTATTTTACCACAATTTGAATAGTTTGAGGATAAAATGTGACATTAAACTATATTTTGGTTATAACGGTTAATTGGAGTGCCTTTCTTGAGTTTTTGTGTATGTGTGCTTATGATAGAAGAGGTGGAACAAAATAATTATATTTAGGAAGCTGTTTTAGGTAAGGAGTAAGAAGATAATGCAAAAGGATATTGCCGAGTGCGAAGGATAGGTCGTCACTCTTCATGGCTACTACATCCAAATTTCTTCCGGAGAATCTTTGAGGAAATACAAAGCAATTAAAACGTTAGAACTTGGAATTTTAGTCTTAGAATCAACTTTTGAAAATGATAGAGATTATATATATAAAAGAGGTTTGAAGAGTTTTTGGAAGGAAAAGTAATACTAATGCCAATTGTTCTGCATCTAATTGCCAATAATAGAGGTTTTGACATTGAATATAAGTTACAGAGGTTTTGACATTGAATATAAGTTACAACTTACATCCATATTTTGGTATATAAGATTCTATATATGTGTGTGAAGGGATTTAGGGTTCATTTGATATTACGGTCATAATGTCTTTTTTTCAATACAATCACGTTTTTAACAGTATTATCAAATATATCATAATTTGTAACGCATGTGTCCACAATAAAGGACGTTTTGAAAAAAAAAAAATTGGGTAATAAAGCAATAACATCAGTCCTAATTATCTGAGGATATTTTAACGTCCAGAAGTAAAATAAAAAAGGAAATGTGACCAAAAAAAAATTAAGAAAAAACTAAATTTGAATGCTCAACTTTTAATTTTCTTTTTTAATGTCTAATTGATAAATTTTTCTATTTGAATGCTCAATTTTTTCATATGTGTATACATATGTTTTTATGTTTGAGTGTCCACAATTACCTTAAACTAAAAAATACTTACATGTGCAGAGTGATCGTTTTTAATTGACATAGTTGAAAATAGGCTCTACTTAAATTATTTTAAAAAATACAATTTGAATGCCTAACTTTTGATTTTTTTTTTTGAGTACCCAACATTTGATTATTATTTTTTATTATTTGAATTCTCTTAATTACCTGAAATTAAAAAATATTGATGTGACTGGAATCTACGGAATCTTTAATTGATAACTGAAAAAAAAAAAAAAAAAAAGGCAAATCCTACTCATATTCTTTGACAAAAATTATAAAAATTTTATATAAAAAAAAATAGTTGGCAAGAATTAAAAAAAAAAATCAAAATTGATTACTATTAGCCAAATGAACTTAATTTTCTTTCTATTTTATAAAAGAAATTAGTTGGTGAGAAAAATATCAAAATCAATTACTGTTAGTCAAATGAACTTAAATTGTTTAGATTATCAAAGGTTAAAACTCTTGGAATAGACAAAGAAAATATTTAGACAATAATATCTTAGAAGTGTTTTAGAAATTGGTAAGCAAATTTGTCGAATTCATTTAGCTAATAATAGTTGATTTGATTTTTTTTTAATTATTATCAACTATTTTTTTGTAAAATTTTTCTAGTTTTTTTTAATAAATTTAATTGAGACTCATTTTTTTCCATATGTTAGTTAAAGATTGCTACATGTCGGTGGATCTTGACCACATTAGTATTTTATAATATAAGATAACAAAGGAAACTCAAATAGAAAAAAAAAAAAAATCAAACGTTGGGTATTCAAACAGAAAAATAACCAAACATTACGCATCAAATTGCATTTTTTCTAAAAAATTAATTTTTTAATGATCTGAGTGGGATTTATTTTTTGCAATGTGTCAATTAAAAACTAGAACGTGATAGTTTATTTTAGACTCAGTATTATTTTTCAGTCTCAAATGGATGTGGGCACTAAAAATAAATAAATAAATCAAAACTTGAACACTTAAATCAAATTATTTATTAATTAGATACTCACTTACAGTTTTATCAAAAAGAAAAGGAAAGATATTGTAAAATGGATTAATAGTTGCTGAGATCCCTGTACTCTTTTTTTGTCTTTATCATATTCTCATACTCTTTTTTGTCCTAAATTCATCTCTTTATATTTGGTTTCTATCTTAATCTCGTTCTTCCAATAACTTTGAATCAATAGTGTTAACTTGTTTTTTTCTGTCTTAATCCCATCCATCTAGTTTCTTTTTTTGTCTTAATCTAGTTTTTTTTTTTTTACTGAATTTAAATAAATAAGTTTTGGAAAATTAAAAAAAGAAAAACTAAAAAAATATGAAGATATATCCAATCATTCTCTATAAATAAAAAAAAATAAGTTTTGGAAAATTAAAAAAAAAAAACTAAAATATATCATTCTCTATAAAAAGAATTAAAAAAAATACTAAAAAAAGCGACACTAAAAATATTTATTTATTCAAAATATCTTCTATATGTTTAAATTTATCTCAATCATAGTAAGAAAATTTTGAGTATAAAATAAAATATTTATAGTATTTTTTATTAAATATGAAGAAAGTTTTAGCTAAATTTTTAAATTTTTGAATAGTATTTATAATTTTGTAATATCTCAAAAAAATCTATTATAATTTATTTATTATAATTTTATATATTTCTTAATTTTATTCAAAAGTAGGAATATAATTTTTTTTAGTGTTGGACCCAACACCAATAAATTCCTTAATTTCACGAAAATTTATAACAAAATTTATATTCTCACTTTTGAGTCAAATTAAGAAATTTGCATAATTAAAATAAATAAATTATAGTAGACTCTTTTGAGGTATTGTAAAATGATAAATAATATTCAAAAGTTTAAAATTTAACTAAAACTCTCTTCTTATTTTTTTTTTAAAGATACTATAACTATTATTTTTATACTTAAAATTCGCTTACTATTATAAAAATAAATTTAAACCCATAAATAATATTTTGAAAAAACAAATTGCTTCACGTTTTTTTTTTAATTTTTAGAGAGAATGACCAGATATATCTTTAATTTTTTTCAAAATTTATTCATTTAAAATTTATATATATATAAACAAACAAGATTTAGACATAAAAATAGAGTAGAAGGATGTGATTAAGACAACAAAAAAGGTTAACACCATCATTTTAAAAATTAATAAATAAATGAGATTAATATCGAAACCAAATACAAACACTACAAAAATATAGCAAAATAGGGACAAAAAAATTTATCGCTATCACAGACAAATTTCGTCACTAAAATGACTTAGCGACGTATTTGCTATTGAAAAAAATCGTCACTAAAACACTCGTCACTAACTTCTACGACGAAATGTACAGGTGTTTATCGCTAACTTAATGATGGATAATTCATCGTTAATTTGTTTTATTCCATCGCTAAGTGGATGCCGAAATCGTAGTATTTCCACCAAATAATACATCACAATTCCCTCGCAAACTCTTCTTAAATCGTTACTAAGTAACGATTGAAAATCCGTCGCTATTATTCGATAGTAAAAGTGGGTTACTATTCCGTCGCTAACTAGCGACCATACCTTTTGTCGTCGTTTTTTCAACATAAATTATTTTTTTATCTTCATTTCCATTGCTAATATTTTTAAAAAATTTTTTATATTTTAAAAAAATTTATATTCTCGATCGTAACTAACAATTAAAACAAGCAACTTATTATAAAAATATTTTTTGTATTAAAATTAAAATATTATAAATTAAATTGAAATTCATATTAAAAAATATTCGTTAGTACTTAAGAAAAAGAGTAAAAATGTAAAATAAAATATAAAAGTCACTCCTCGTCATGATCATCTAATCTCCTCTCATTGTCCTGCGGCTCGGTAGGAGGGACGATGGAGTCTTGACCGGTGGAGGGGTCGGTATGCAAGCAAGACGTTTGTGCCGGCCTATGTAACATCACCGTAATTAATTCAATCCGAGTCTCCATCTCTTGAATCTTCATCTATTGTTACTCGATAATATTATTCTATTCGTCTAACCTCACATGCATTTCCATCACCATCTCCTCATACTAGCTGCGAATCCGATCATCAACATTGTCATCGAGGAACTACGATGATACGGAAGACGAGCTAGTGCCGGCAGAATGGGATAAATATTACAATGCCTATGACTCAATCCCGTAAATCCTCTTCTTCTTCTCCCTTTCTACAACTTCAAGGTATACGATGTCCGTGTTTACCTTTGGCTCCTCAATTTCAGCCTCTTCGCTACTTCCTAATAGCTTTTCGTATCGGCTCCTCCACACGATCATAACTATAATGTTCAAAAATAAAATAAATTTTTATATTATATTTGCATCCGTATAATTTAAAAATTAAAACTCTTACCATTGTTGTCCGGGCCTACAAATCAGCGAAAGTCCTATCTCTCCGTTTATAAGTGGCCCTAAACAACTCTAAATTAGTAGGCTCATGCCACAATTGGATAGTTTGAAAAAATAGACACAAAAAATATGAGCTGTAAATATTAATTTTTTAAATATTGAATAATATAGGATAGGATTTACCATA